GATGATATTATTGCTCGATAAATCGAACACCTGTATATTTACCTGTACATATATATAATATTACCTATATATATATATATATATATATATATATAGGTAATATTATATATATGTACAGGTAAATATACAGGTGTTCGATTTATCGAGCAATAATATCATCTTTGATCATTTACTGATGTATATATACACACGTGTGTGTGTATACATGTATGTATACATTAGTTTTTTGTGCATGTGTTTGTATGCATGTAAATTTGTGTGTCAATCAGTCAGTTAGTTGTTGTTGTATGCATCGGTATGTTTTCAACAGCAACGTTTCACTCTCGCGTTCCCATTAAAACGTTGGTGTGCTTATTGGACCCACTTGGGCCCACTTGGGCCCCTTAGAAGAAAACGTTAGACTGGCAAGTATTATTAAAGTACTTACTACTACTATCATCATAATCGTTTCTACTATACCATGAGAATGTATATATATATATTATGGTGTAAGTATTTGTATCTGTTTGAATTCAACACCACCACCACTACCATCACCATACTATTACCACCACCATAATCACTACGACCATTAGGAACAGTAGTCAACGTTGAAGTTGTTGGATGTTTCTTGCTGTTCATTCGTTGATTCTAAGGTACACGTATATACACCATGTAGTTTATACACAGACTATACTTGAAATGAAAGGCAAGTATCCTCGGTTAGTTCTAACATAAGTCAGGAACGAGATCGACAAAATTTTTCGATCAATCGATCGATTGATTCATCGATTACTTTCTTTCAATTCTATGATTAATCAATTAATTGTTTGAGATCATTTTTTTGTTTATATCTATCAAACGTTTGTATTATTTTTTGTTTTCTTTTGATTTTCGATTATAGAATTGATTATAGGATTTATATTATAATCTGATGTTATGGGTTCCATATGCAACGTTATACGCATATGGAACCCATAACATCCCCATCAATTATTTTTAAGTATGGTAATAATAATAAAAAATGAATAATTCGATTAGATTTGAATAAGATTATATTAAATGTTTGTTACTTTAAAACAATGGGATATTATGTAGATACATTTAAGTAGTCAAAGACAGACAGTGGACAGATTGTGCAATTGAAAATTTCAATTACTTTTAATGTCAACATAGGTAATAACAAAATATAAAAAACATTTAAAAAACAATGCAATTAAATTTGAATGAGATTATAATTGTTTGTTACTTTAAAACAAGGGGATTAATATGTAAATACATTTAAGTAGTCAAAAACAGACAGACAGACTGTGCAGTTGAAAATGTTGTATGCAAGTGAAGTA